AGTTAGGATTTCAATCAATAGGAAAAGCATAATAATGAATGTTAAATTCATACCAAAATTGCAGTCATATTTGGAAATTCTTCATCGTTCATTGAATCCCTTTAATAGAGCAAATTGAAAATGTATGTAACATTTGCTTGCTTGCTATAAGTCAACCAAAGGGAGAAAGCCGACCGGAGCAGATTTTTTAAAAATTAGAACTAGGAAGCTATACAGAGTTTGCACATCAAGGATAAAAGTACTATCCGGTTGCAGTTAACAGTAAAAGCATATTTTTCCTGTAAAAATGTTTAAATTTTGTCATAGAAATTCCCATTTATTCTGAATCACTCATCATCTTAGATGATAGGCTAGAATGGCTTCTAGGGTTCTTACTTGGTCTCAAAGTTCCACACTCTAACAGAACGGTCGACAGCGCAAGTGACGATCAGCGGTTTGCGACTACATGTATCCAATCCAAGAATCTGACCGTGATGGAAGGCCTGAGCTACTGGGTCAAATGTGGCCTGCTCGACATCAGCATTCTGAGAAATAGGTAGATTTGACTTATCACCAGTAAAAGCTGGCCTGGACGAACCAGGAAATACACCGGAACCCTTAGAAGCAGCAGCCATCTCAGCTGATGCTAAGTTATGTTGAAACAACTGATGAGCTTGACTGCTTGCTACTAGGATATCTTCAGACGGGCTGACAACTAAGTGAGTGATTAGTTGTTGGTGCGCCAGACTTGATTCTATCACTCCACCGTTTGGATCAACAGGAATATTTATGGTTCTAACACGTCGATAGCACTCGCGAACCCCTCCTGCAAGTGCACCAAGATAAGAAGTCATAGAGGAGGTCAATCCGCCGCCACCAGACATGGATTTGGTCTCCTCGGTTCGCTCAAACCAGTGCACTAATCCGGGTCCACAAGCTGCCGCGATGCCTTTAGGTGTGGATGCAATAGCTGTAACGCTATATCGGAAGCGAAACTCCATTGATTCCGTCTCTTTTCTAAGTGTTAAAAATTGGACCAAAACAATAATTAATACTTTTGCAAATTTGCTATTAATAAAACAATATAAACTATTCATTGTAGCTTAATCACCATAACTTGTCCACAGTAATCCAATAATGATTAAAGTCTTCTAACTTCTAACTTCTTATGTTGCCTTTATGTTAAAGTTCTCGTTGTATAGACGAAAGATATCAGATTTCCTAATCTTCAGCGTATATAAAGCCATAAATTAGCTATTCTGCCCCAAATTTTCCACTTTAGCTATTCCGATGTCATATGTAAAGTTATTCGGAATAATGCTTGATCATTTGAGAACTTTCAGCAAGAGATCAAGAGATCAAGTCATATTTCGGGTCTTGACTACCACTTTTATGCACAAAAAGAAATATCATGCTGTCTGTGTACACAACAATTAACAAGAATCCAATAATTAAATCGATCTCATTAGCCTATATAAGGTGATGAATCCAAATTTATATTTTTTTATATTAACTGCGTATTATTGTTGATTAATTTCAAAAGTCATTAATGTAATTACATAAATCTTGCATTATGGGCGATCCTATTAGGCTAATATGGTTTACCTCTAACATTAGTATCGGTGGCAAGTTTCTCCAATGCCTAATTCCTATATACATAGCCTGAAGAAGAATCGCTTTAACAAGGATTAACGGAAAAATAGGGCTTATATCAACTCAAAGATTTTTTTAACTTCTTTGCTCATTTTTATAGTATAGATGATGATGATTTTGCCTATTTGTAATGATTCAACTACTGGAGACAAATAATGAATCTACTATGTACTTTGGAATCTTTTTTGGGATTTATCTAGAAATAGATATGGAACCAATTACCCCGGAAATATTTGCCATATTACCAATGCCAATGCTTAAAAGTTATAAGTAGCAAGTTGAGATATCATATACGCTGGGTTTGCGTACTAAATAGAATTACTACAAAAACAGCAGAAGCTCACATAATGAAATGCTTAGAAGCGTGCTCTTTTATAAAGCTTAGAATTTCTGAAATCTCTCTCTCTCTGTAACATAAACTTTCGAATCGACACAGTAAATTTTGTGGCTTATTGTATGATACTTAGAAGCCAAATATTTAAGGTGAGAAGAAAATAATTAGATAAAATGATGAAGAAGTAATATCTTGGAATGACCTGGATTATAAAAACAAAGTAAATGGACAAATGGAAAGGAGTGGACCCAAAATAGGCAAACAAAATAACAAAAATAAGCAAATAGAATATTTCGATTTAATAAGGAAAATGTTGTCAAAAACTTTAAAGTAATTTTAATCCTAAAGGTGGGCACA